CCTACAGAACAATTTCATCAACCTCAGCTTTCTCCACCTCTTCCGTGCTGTCCGGCTCATCAAGTTGCTGCGCCAAGGCTACACCATCCGCATCCTGCTGTGGACCTTTGTCCAGTCCTTCAAGGTGAAGCCCAGGCATGCCCCTTGTGCCCTGACCCTCCCCTGTGTGATGCACAGTGCTGTGGCCACCAGCTCTTCCTTACCACCAGAGCAGCCCCTCCTCGTGGAGGCTCCTTGTTGGCACCCGTTATCCTATTGTAGTTTACAAAGACATTTTAAGTGATCCAGAGAGCATCTTGGTAATGCTCACTGACTCTGAGTTGGGTTCTATGACTGATTATAGACGAAGGAACTGAGGCGGTCTCTTGGCGGAGGGGCTTCATGGTCAGTGGGGTTGGATTTGCAGTCACTGGGGTCTGGGTGGCCCCAGAGACCCGGCCACTGTCCACTCTGCAGACGAGGCCCGAGCAAGGTAGCTGGGCAGCCCTCCCTGGAGCTGCCCTGTCCTCTGTATGATTCCACAGGCCCTGCCCTACGTGTGTCTGCTCATCGCCATGCTGTTGTTCATCTACGCCATCATCGGCATGCAGGTGGGTGCGCCTGATGGGACAGGGAGCAGAAGGGGGAGGGCCCTGTGCCCTGGGGCAGAAGGGCACTGATCATGGTCATCAAATGGTATCAATGACAGATTGGCACTTGGGGAACATTTCTATGTTTGAAGCACTTTGTGAACGTAATTCTCAGAAAGGCTGTTCTACCGATAAGGACACGGAGGCTGGGCACCACGGGTTTGGGCCTGTCACCCAGAGTCCACTAGTGAGGCGTAGCTCCACCGTCTGTGGGAAAATGCTCTGCTGTGCTCCTGAGTGGAACCCCATTGGGCTGTTAGGGTGTTGATGGGCATGTTTGATTGGGTTCCGGGCCCCCATGTTGGTGGAGCTTTTGAGCACATCTGCCTGGTGCTGAGTGGCCTGCAAAGCACCCGCTGGTCATTCTGTTAGTCCAGAGAGTTGACCTGATCCTGTACAGGAAATTATATATTACAGAAGAAAAAATTCAACAGGATCACACCAGATCACTGTACTGTCAAGTTCAGCTTGGATAAGTTAGATTGCCTTTATTTTGCCAAAGAACCCTTTGTCAGCTACTTGGAAAAACATTTAAAAGACAAAGTAGTGTTCCAGTTTTAAATCTTTGGCATCTGACCACTTTTCAACAGTAGGATGGGAGATGGATCCAAATGTTAAATTATAATGGGAGAAGCCATTGTCTTAAAGGTTAGCTGAAAAGTGATTTTTAAACTCTATTCAGGGATTGAAAAGCTTCTCTTCCTTTAAAATTTGCTGAGATCTGATGCTATTTAAAAAAATATATATATTTGTGCCTGCTTTGGTTTGGGAATTTATAAGACCAGAAGGGTCACTGATCTTTGTTTTTGGTGAATATGTGATAGTTCATAAATTTTTCAGCCAGATTCCAGATTTTAAGCCAAGTACAGTTACTGACTTGTTTGCATTCCTAACCCTAAAAATAAATCAATTAAAATGGATAAAAAGCCCATTGTGATATTTGCACAGAAATTTAGAAAGAAACTTTCAAGTTGACCTCATAGCTAATACCAATAAAATTACTGCTTCAGAGTCATTGATGACAGGGTGAAATTTCAAATGCTTCCTGTCTTATATATAGCACAGCCCATGTAAACTTAGCTCCGGGTGGCATTTTTACTCGGCATGCGGACTTGCAGGTGTAGACATGCGGAGCTGGGGGGGGCGGGCATTGACGTGTTTGGCTGGAAGTGCTGGCTCCTCCAGCCCCTGCCGCAGTGGTGGTGGCTAAGGGCAGCGTCCTGTGCCTTGTGGGTCCTCATGTGCACACATCCTCTTCTGCCTGGCCACAGCTCCTGAGAGCCCAACAGGACCAGCCTTGCAGCCTTCTCTCTCATTTCAGGTTTTTGGAAATATTGCCCTGGATGATGACACCAGCATCAACCGGCACAACACCTTCAGGACGTTTTTGCAAGCCTTGCTGCTGTTGTTCAGGTATGTTGTTTGGGGAGTCAACGCAGGCTCAGAGGCTCCTCCGTTTAGGAGGGACAGGGCATGTGCCAACCCAGAGGGCCAAACCCTCTGACCCCAGCTCGTGCTGGCTTCCCCTCAGTGGGCCTTCCCAGCTTCTTCTCCCCTCTTCCTCCTTCCTTCCCTAAGGGTTCCTGGGCCTCGGGACAGATGGAAGGGAAGTCCATGAGGGAGGTCAACCTGAGAGCCCCAGGTGAGGCTGGCCTTGACCACCTCAGCTCAGATCCCTGGGGTTGGCCAGAAGGCCTCAGGTGATGCTGAAACCAAGGGTCTGGGAGGACAAAAGGTGTCCACCAGGGCCTTTTTCTGTGTGCTGGCCATAGGCTTTCCATCTGCTTACTTTGGTGAGTGCAGGGTCTGTGGGATCGGGGCCTGGGGCGGGTGCAGGTCAGGGCAGGGGACACAGACTGTGCTACTCAGGGAACCAAGGAACTCAACTGGCCAGAGTGAGTGCCTCCACCTGCCCCATGGCTCACAGGACTGCAATTCCCTAAGCTCCATGTTCCAAGGCAGCCAGAGTAGCTTGTTTCTGGCTCAGGCGCCTCCCTGTGTGCTCGACAGGGCTGCATATCAGCTTTTGTTCCGAGACGTGACACACTCCCTGTGGCCCATCCTGGTTGGGGGCTGTGGGGAGGGGGTGAATGTGTCTCACTGCCTCCAGGGTCCCCTTCGTTAAGGCAAGCCCACCACATGACCCTAGGAGGGAAGAAAGGAGCTCTTTGTTGGGAATTGTGGAGGAGGGGTGCTGACATATAACCCTGCCTGGGGCGCTTTCTTGAGGTGCCCACACGCGTGTTTGTTTATGCAGATGCACCAGGATGCTGTAAGACCTGTGCTGGGAGATGCCCAGCACGGTTAATCCCAGGCAGATGCATTCCAGGGCCCGTGGAGGTTCTTCTTTTTATGGAGGGAGATCAGACCATTCTGCTTAGCTAAGCTGCCTGGAGAGAGTTGTCTGACTCTTGTTTTTTTAATCAGATGGACAAGTATCCTTAGGCCTACACTTTCTCCAAATGACATCATTTTTCTGGACATTAGCTATTACGTTCATTTCATCTCTTCATTTATTAATGTCCTGCCTCGTGCTATAAGAGTTGAGGCAGGCCTATGAAACCAGCCTCAGTTTTAAGTCTTTGTTCTCAAAGATCTCTTTTCCTCCCTGGTCTCTGTGTCACGTATGAGCACCAGTATCAGTCAGGCTTGGCATTGGACCACTGCCCTGCAGGAAAAGCCCCCTACTCCTAGCCATTGTTAATGGGAAGTGGGCTCCACTTGTGCCGAGAGCTGACCATGCAGGCACACCCAGTGTCGGGGGGTGGCCCAGTCCTCTGGTCTGCCTGCAAGTCTAGTGCACATCTGGCCTTCGTGCTGGCCGCAAACCCAGGGACAAAATTCCATGAAGAAATGTCTTCCAGGATGGCCACTCAGGCTGGTGGGGCTATTCTTGGTGTGTTCAGGAAACAGCAGACGCTGGTGTGGCCAGAGTGTACTGAGCAGAGACCACAGGGAAAGAGCAGGCTGCGAGTTTCACAGAGCTGTGGGCAGTTGTGTGAATTTTGGCTTTTGCAGTGAGTGAGGGGTCATTGAGAGGAAAAGTGACCTGATCTCACCTGTGTGTAGTGGACCCACTTGGCTGTTGGGTGGGGCAGAGCAGGAAGATCCGTGAGGAAGCTATTGCAGCAGCTCAGGGGAGGTGGTTGTTGCTTAGCCCAGGGTGCTGAGAAGTGGTAAGAGTCTAGCTGGTTTTTGAAGGTAGATGAGTTCATGAAGCTGGTGAGAAGGAATGGAGGCAGGGATGCCTGCAGTATATTTGGCCTAAGAAACGCGATGGAGCCCCCATTTCTTGAATCAGGGAAGGCTGGGATGGCACATGCTGGGTGAGGGAGGCCAGGAAGGGCTGTGTTGGCTTCGAGGTGCCAGAGTTCCCTGAGGGGGCGCTCACCATAGTGCTGACTCTTGGTGCAGTGCCTTGTTTTCAATAACTAGTTCTTTCTGAGTTAATGATCAATTTGAAAATCTAATGCCAGAGGATTCTTTTTAAAAAGTAGGCATCTCTTACCTATACCTTACGTATGAGTGGGTTGTCTGTGGGAGGGAGCCCAGGGAGGGTATGCACTTGAGCCAGCTCTTCTGAGATTCCTTCTCAGGCTGGCCTGGGCCTTCCTTTGTGGGTCTCATGGCTCTGCCCTTCCTCTCAGGAGTGCCACTGCGGAGGCCTGGCATGAGATCATGCCGTCTTGTCTCAGCAACCAGGCCTGTGATGAGCACGTCAATGTCAGTGAGTGTGGGAGAGACTTTGCCTACTTCTACTTCGTCTCCTTCATCTTCCTTTGCTCCTTTCTGGTAAGTCCTGGTCACTGTGTCCCTGTGTCCACCTGTCTCAATCCATCCCAGACCCCTCCTCCATCTCTCACTGATACCTGATACTGATTCATGGCACATTACAAGCGGATTCTGTGTCGATGGTCCTGTTTCCCCAGAGACGATGACCTCTAAAAGGACCCACTCTGTCATGAGCTCCTGTGGGCCTTGCTTTTCCTTCTCAGAAAGGGTTTTAAGTTTCCACGGGACAACTGTCCTTTAGTCTTTAGCCTCTGCCATGGTGATGAGTTACAAAGAAGCAGCACTCCAGCTGGTGTGCCTGGGGCAGATGAGCCTCAGGAAACTGGTTGTTGGGGCAGTAAGTGGACTAGGTCCAGGTCAGCAGAAACCTCTGGGAAAATTTGAACAGGGGCATGACACAATCTGGTTGATACTTTAAAACCTTGCTCTGGCCTCTGGTCAGGAGAGGCTGGAGAGTGGTCAGGAGATGGTTGGAGGTGACAGTCCCTAGAGAAGGGTGGGGATGAAGGGAGTTGAGCTGCACTTTAAAGACAGAGCCAACATGACTGATGAGTAAGCACAGGCATGAGAGAAAAAGAGAAAGAAAGCCGCACCTGCCATTTGCTGGGGTGCTGGAGAAACAGGCGCTCGTTCACGCCAGTGAGAATGTGACGAGGTGCAGCAGCTGTGGAAGACAGTATGGTAGCTCCTCAGTAAACTGAAAATAGAATGGCAGTATAATCCAGCAACTCCACTTCTGGGCATATGCCAGAATTGAAGACAGGGAATTGAATAAATATTTGTACACATATGTTCATAGCAGCATTATTCACAATGGCCAGGAGGTAAAAGCAACGAAAGTGCCCATCAAGAAGTGATTGGTACACAAAATGTGACATGAACATACAAGGGACTATCATTCGGCCTTAACAAGAGAGGCAGTTCTGGCCCATGCTTCAATATGAATGAATCGTGAAGTCATTATGCCAAGTGAAATAAACCAGTGACAAAAGGAAAAATAACTGTATGGTTTCACCTATCTGAGGCCCTCGAGTGAAGTTCACAGAGACAGAGAGTAGGATGTAGGATGGTGGGGGCCAGGGACTGGGGGAGGGGTGAGAGTTAGGGTTTAATGGGGTCAGG